ACATAAAAAAAAAAAAAAAAAAAAAAGTATAATAGAATATAAAAAAATATAGTAGTATAAAATATAAAATATAAAAGAATAAATAAAATATTTCTTTCAAAAAATAGTTAAGATTGGGTTACACTTAATGAAAATGCTTTAACAAAAAGTAACTTATAAAGTGGTACCTAAACATTTAATAAAAATGTAAATTTATATTTGAAAAAAAATTTGTCTTTTAAATATAAATCATATTATAATTAATATAATTTATTCATTTACTATTTTTGTATATATATATATATATATGTGTTTTTTAATTAAAAAGATTAGAGTTTTTATATATTACCACTGATAAAGAATCTGTCCTAATGCACAATTTAACTGCTTTCTTTTCAGATTGAATAGTAACTTCGCTTAATATAACTAAATTGTTTGATGTTAGACAGGCAAAATAATATAATTCCTAAATATATTTATAAAAAAAAAAAAAAAAAAAAAAAAATGAATAAAATGTTGTAGAAATTAAAATGATAATATAACTTTAACATTAAAAAAATTAACATAATAAATAAAAAAAAAAAAAAATGTGTTGTCTCTTTTTTTAAATTTATTACCATATTATTTACATTTCTACGAGCTATTAATGAAATATTAAAAATCTTCATCCTTTTTATTAATATATCTGATGTTATAAGCATTGGACTAGTTGCCATCAGTATACTCTATAAATATTTGAAAAAAAAATTAATAAAATGGTATATATAAAAATTATTTAAAAAAAAAATTATATAAATATAATATATAAAAATTAAAAGCATATTACTTCTTTTGAATCTTCTATAATTTGCCATTTTTTTTTAAAAATTTCTTTTTCCATATTGAAATTTTCAACAAAAACAACGAAAATATCATAAGGAACATTAAAATAAAAAATATCTATATTTGTTCTTATTGCAACCTAAAATATACATTAAAACATATATGATAAGGATAAAAAAAAATGTAAAATTGTAATGAAGTAAAGAAATAAAAAATATCAATATGACGATTATATACAATGAATATTTAATAATAATAATAATATTTCCTATATCTTATATTTAAAAATGTTTCTTTTACAAATAATTTACTATTTCATAAAATTATTTATTCATTTTTATTTATTAACTTGTAAGAATAAAGGGGTTGTTGGAGGTGTATTGGAATTTAAAATATTTGGTATTAAAATTATATTAATTTCTACAAATGGAAAAAAAAAAAAAAAAAAGTAAAAATATAATAATTTTATTAAATAAAATCAGTATTTGGAAGTATTAATTTTTATTTTATATATTTATTTGTACCTTTTGTTTCTTCACAAGGAATGTTTTGTACACCTAAATTGTTAGGAGAAGATAAGCCAAAACTAATAAAAAAAAAAAATTAATAAAAATTATGTTAAAAAAAAACAAAATTTTAAAAAATAGTATACACATAAACTTAAATTTTTCTAAAATATATCCTCAAAACATGTATTAAAGTTAATATGGATATTTATATATTTTTTTTTTTTTTTTATTATTACGAATTTTTATTTATTTGAACTCCTGATATAACTAAGGTATTAGGCGTTTTATTAGTTACAACTATTTTTAATTGAATTTTACCTATGATAAAAAAAAAAAAAAAAAAAATTACATTCTCTTAATAAGAATAAAAGGAGAAAAAATTGTTACATAAAATATAATAGTAACTACTATAAAAATTATTTATATAAGTATTTATTATTCTCATATTATAATTATTATTATTATAATATATATTTTTTTTATCTCATTTTTATATATTTTATGATAATTTACAAAATTATTTACCTTCAATACGATTTAATGATGATAAAATAGATAAGCCGCTATTTCCTTTTAAACCAGTATCCTCTGCAACTAGAACTTGAACTAATTTAACAGGAGGAATATTTTTTTTTGGTTTATGAGCTTCTTCATTTAATCCTATCAAATCCATTGATTTTTTATCTTCTTCTTCATCCTCATCTTTCTCATCATTAACATTATCAGATGAATTATTATCTGAATCTGTAGAAGATTTAGAATTATTAGATTTTTTACTATCACTCGAATAACTTTCATATTTTTGCCTTTCCATTTGTTTTTTGATTTTATGCACATTATCTTCTTCTCCATTTTCTATACGATCTTCATTATTATCAGATGATAAGGAAAAATTACTTTTTTTTGAGATAAATGTTTCAGGTAATTTATGATAAACAGAGGAAAGCATAGAAATATTTTTAATCAACTTATTTAAAACTTTTGTGTCAGTAATTTTATTTTCATCTTGAATAGGTGGTTTTTCTGCTAAAACAACCTTTTTAGCAACATCTATATTTTTTGAAAGCAACCTCCAATATATATAAGCTCTATCTCTTAAATCAGGATTATCACTTTCTTCTGTAGATAATTTCAACACTTTTGTAATAATATCTTTAGTATTTTTCGAACATTTTAAAAATAATTTTACACTAGCTGTTAGAATTTGCAACTGAACATTATATGGTTCATCATTAAAATTTTCTAAAAACGAATCTATTAATTCATCTGCATTATCTATTCTTTCTACATATTCTCCGATAATCCATATAAGTGATGCTTTAGCATTAGATTCATCTAATGATTCTAAATTTTCACATAAAATGGTAATAATACTTTCATATTTATTTGGATATTTTCTAAAAATATCTTTTATAACTACAATACATTCTTGAATAACATAATTAATTTTGGTGTCTATTAAATCTAATAAAATATTAATACATTTTTCACTAGATTGTGGTAATTTAATAGCACAACTTCCAATAGCTCTAACACTTTTTTTAACAAATTCTACATCTACTTCTGTAGAGTATTCTTTCAGTTCATATAAAACTAAATCTACATTTTTATCTGAAACAAGTCTAATTATGATATCTAATTTTTCCATTTTAACATAAACAGGTTCATTATATTTACAAAAAAACATATTAATTTTATCTGCAAGCATATTTGGCAACTTTTGAGTTATTAAATTAATATTTCGTAAAGCTATATATTGTATTTCTGGTTCTGCTGATAATAAGGTAACTAAAGATGGACTTAATTTTTTATGAACATTTCTAATAAACTCTTTATCAGTAATTTTATCTAATAAACTTAAAATAACTTTAATAGATGAAAGAACAACAGCTGAATTCGCATGAGATAATCTAGGTAAAATTCTTTCTAAAACTCTTTCAGCATCTTTACTAGTTTTGGGTTCATATAGAACTAAAGCATCTAAGATAAAAACTTGACCCCATTCTACACACTCATTAATAGCATTAAGAAGTTTGTTAACATTATTTTCATCTTTATTAATAACATCTTTTAAAATACTTTTATTTGAATTTTCACAAATATCAGTTAATGAAATTATAGCATTAGCTACAACCATAGCATTATTATCATCTAAAATATTTAAAAGAGTATCAATAAATCCCTCTTCTTCTACCAATTTGGGAGATATATCATATAGTTTGGCGATACATATAACAGCTGTTTTCCTAACATAAGGATCTTCATCTTTTAAACATCTTCTTAATGGTTCAATTAAGTATTCAGTTATCTGTTCTAGTCTAATACATCCCATTGTACGAATAGCAAGTGCTCTAATAAGAGGGTTTGGATCAGATGCATCTTTTCTAAATGTATTAACAGCTAAAATAGCTAGCTCTGGTTGAACTTTTGCATAATTTATTACATATAAGTAAACTAACTTTTTTAATTCTATATTAGACGTTTGCATGCAATTTACAACATCAGAAAATAAAGTTGAAACGTCTTTTCCTACTGTCATAGCAGCTATTATTTTTTTTATTGCTTCTTTTTTTTTTTCTTTATGTGAAGAATGTAATTCTTCTTTTAACTCATGAATTTCTCCTTTCTTCGTGGTTTGAAAGTAACGTAAATCAGACATTTTGTAAAATATTTTATATGTAAAAAGAAAAAAAAAATATAAACAATGTAAATAATAAGATATATGTCAAAAAAAAAAAAAAAAAAAAAAAAAAAAAAAAATTAAATTATATTAATATATATATATATATATATATATATATATATATATATA